CTTCTACGCCACATGTAACCTAACATTGCCGAAAACAAAGCAGTAAAAAAACTCCCGCGTGAACTTAATATAAGATCAGGACTCAGGAGTGTGTAAAATAATCAAGTGAAGTAAATTCCCATGAATGAGCGTAATGGAAACCGACGTGTGAAGTGAACTCCCGTCAACATTCTTGGATATACATTTTTTAACAACTCGGCCATAATTTTTAGTTATATATTAAATTTATAATAGGTAGAAGATGTACCGTGTATGATTCGACACAAGAGAAACAAAAGGAACAATAAGATTGCATTTAATATAAATTTAGTTTCTATTTCATTTTTAGTTCATGTCTAGTGTAATCATATTAATGTATCGCTTTGTGCTACTCAGATTGTTTACATTTCTTGAGATCACAATTTATTCCTAACATTATTCTCTAGGTAATGAAATAGCTTTGATAAACTCAGCGCTCGAAAAGTTGAGGGATTGACTCGGTGTAATTCAGTCCGCATAGAATGTGTTATCATCTATAAGAGAATAATTATGTGTCGATACGGAACGTGCCTAAACCAAATGTATAGTTTTCAAATTTGCCGACATAAATAAGCCTGCAATAAATATGTCAATGTTACATGAACCGATAGTTTTGCGCTTGCACTGATAGCGCCAGGCGCAGTGAAATGGCCGAACTCTTCGATCGTTGGAGCTAGAACTTGACTCGTGTTATGATCTTATTTAGTTGTGAGATATTATAGAACTCCTGTTGACCATTTAAGCCTCCTGAACGCATCTAATGCTGCTAAGATCATGATAAGAATCTATTACAATATGTTTTATCTGGACGATGAATAATAAATTAATTTTAATCCAAACACCTCAATTATACAACTCTGCTCTTTTTACTTTGAGTTAAAAAAAGGGCACCTAAAAATCAACGTTAAAAAAATCGAAAAATTATCACATCGAGTATATACACTGAGCATAGGCAGGTATCTTGCTCCAGAATAAAAAAAGAAAATATGGTAAGAAAATTTATTATAAATAGCTGAATAGAAATAGAAAAAAATATTAATAGAACGTTCTTGTACAGATTAGAAGCGATTAAATGTCTCGAACGGTTTTCAGATAAAGTGATGGATGATAATTAATTATTTCATGTTGGTTGAAATTTTGAACGTGATGCACAGCATGCAGGCTAAGTTACAACTCCTGAGTTAATATTCAAATCACTCTCAGATGAGCATTCAGCAGTTCCTTTATATAAGCTCAGTTTTGTAGCGCTCTGAATATTTACTGGCTGCGTTCAAGACCTTCCCAACATCTGTAAGTTTTATGTATATATAATTATATCACAAACGAATATTATGTATTATCATATATTAATTATCACGAACGATCCATTTTACCTTGCCCGGACGTTGTTTTAAATAGAGCAAGCTACGATATGAATGGTCCGAATTTTGGAGTGAGTTCCAGACAGAATCATGTAATAATATCAAACCAACTTTTTTAATTTGTTCCTAATCCCGAACAACGACGAAGACGTCATAAACGTTCCTGCAATATAAATCGGACTTTATCTGTTGATTATGATAAGCTCAATTTTAAATTTTGCAAATGCAGAATTCGGCAAAAGTACGAACAACGTGGTACTGTCCATACCACTCCGTTGGTTTGTCAGTAACTGGGAATTGCAGAGGCAAAGGAAAACGCGAATAATTTCCTTTGTTTTGGTATGAAACAGCAAAGTTTATATGGAATAGACATGATTGGTGAGGTTTCTTTAGTTCCATCAGTTGGAATGTTTGTAAATAGGCAGGCGACGTCTATAGTGTTGCTAGCAAAGAAGATGAGCGCGCAGCGCGGAGGATTTCCGAAAAGTCGTCACTAGATTTTGAAAAGAATTGCTGCGAAATGTAGGGTTTATTATGAGCTCTAACTCTTTGGCTGTCTTGTAGATTGAAGAGCTAACTTGAGTAATTAGGGGTTGAAGTGAGTTACTATCTTTGTGTATTTTAAAGTTTTCATGGAGCTAATCAGATGAATACGACCTACGAACTGAGAGAGCTTTCCAGACCCTGCAACTGAGTAGACACAAGTTTTCCCTGAAATATGCACGCGTTTTCAGCAGAATTTTAAGCTTCTTAATTTAATTTCTTCTATTCTATGTATTAGGTGTTGGAAATTTAGTCGCTCATTCGTGCGTATATTGTTTTTTAGAACGAACTCATGTCAGATTACTGCCCACAATTTTCTTACATTTGGTTGTTCTTTCGAAGTAATTCTTCCAAAGCTTTTGATTGCATAGTGAGCTTTGGTTCGTGTGATGCGAATAATACCACAAAACTATCTAGGTTTTACTTCATCTTAAAAATGACGTTCAGATCATCTACAAAATTGGTTCATACAATACAGAACAAAATATGATTATCCTCATCTCTTTAAGGATTATTTTTTTTTGGCTCAAAACGCAATTAGGAGCACAAAAAATGTACATGCGATTTTATGAATCTCATTAAAAATTGGACTCCAAACACTGCCCTAAGTCGACAGCCTGCTGAGTAAAGCTCAGTTATTTTTCGTTCAAGAGATTCTTTTTTAAGATTGATTCCTGGACAACAATACTTACTTGAAATCTGTTAAAAAAACTCCACGTGAATGAATAGATAATAAATGCACAAGCTTTGAAACGCAGCATTTAAAGGGTTGATCGAAAATAAGTAACGAAAATATGCAAAATTCTGCATTGGGAACACTCATGTTTAATTCCGCAATAAATTGAAACTATTGATAAAATTATTTAATTGAATTTATATTTTTAAATTCATTTCATCTATCAGTAATTGAACTATCTATTCTAAATTGCACTGTAGAGGTTAAACGCAAGGCCTCTGTCATACACTTGATGAAAATTTGATTTTTCTCGACGAATAGAGGAGCAAATTTATAATCCGATTATTTGTCTTTTGTGATGAGAATAAATAAATAACCTTAAATTGGATTCGGACCTTCAGCAAGTTTCGAGCCTATATCAAAATATTGCTGGTAAAAGTTTAAATGTCGAACAGGCGAAGCATTAAAGTGAAGTGGAGTGTTCTTATGATTTTCTTGGCAGAAACTAAACACAATTTGACACACGGATATATCACACGTATAATTCGAGAACATTTGCTATCACATCTCGTAGTGAGACCGTGTACACAGGTGACGGTAGCGGCGGTCATCTCACACAAAGTATACACGACAAGATGGAGAGTCAACAGCTCGTTTGGTCAGGTATTGAATTAAACTTTAATGCGTTTTAAACTGGAGACTAGGAAACATTGCCACATCTGTGTCACTTATATTATAAATAAAACGCAGAATAAATTTCGATTACAAGATTTGCAGCAGACAGACAGACCAACAGACAAACAAGAAGTTAAGTTAGAGAGAAGTGTTGTAAAAAGAATATATTCTTGCATTACTCCCCGTGCAAGTGATGTAAAATGTAAAACCGCACGATTTTTACATGCCACTATTATAACTTTACCTAGCCGAAGTAGAAAAGCCGTCAAAAACTCCCATAGGAACTTGATTGTAAAAGACCTACAAAGTGTAAAAGAATCGAGTGGAGTAAAATCCCGTGGATGTGTGTGATGTAAACTAATGCGATAAGTACACTCAAATCAATATTCTTTTACATACACTTACTTGTGAAACTGCATAAAATTGCTAAATTGATAATAGTAGGAGATGAAATGTTAATTATTCGTTGTCAGGGAATCATAATTTTGACAATTGGATTGTGTTTATTATCATTTATTATTTTCTATATTAAATGGTTTTATACCAAATTATTTCTATTTATTCAGCTTATTTGTAATGTATTGATATTCATATATCGTTTGGTGCTATTTAGATTATTTACATTATTTATGATAAAAATTTAATCTCAACATTATATGAAAAGAATCTTTTCAGGCGTTATTTAGTTTGTGGAGGAAAGAATTTAAATGCGTGATTTTCGTGGGGATTATTGGCCAGTTTCTTGATACCAATACACAAAGCGTGATATCAGAAGTAAACCAAGAGAATCAGAATTTTTCCAATATACATATTCTAAGGAAATCAGATAGGTATATACAAAATAAAACAGAAGTCTGACTAAATTACTAGAGTTTCGTTTTATGCAATAAGCTCAGCGAGAGGCTGCTTGCTTTCAACATTAAATGTCAGGTAACAAAAACTTTCATAAACTAAGTTTGAAGTTTAACGCACGAAAAGTTTGAGTATGTCGTGGAATTGACCGGTCGCTATCGATGTAAAGTGTACAAGCATTTACATATATAGTCTCGGTGTCAAGTATTTCTGCGTAAAACGTGTCAATAACAACGTGTCCACACGCAACATGCCAAAAGCAAATTCACTGATTTCTAATTTTCCGACATAAATAAGTCGGCAATAAATATGTCAATGTTACATGAACCGATAATATTGCGCTTGCTCTGATATATAGCGCCAGGCGCAGTGAAATGGCCGAACTCTTCGATTGTAAGAGTGAAGACTTGACTCGTGTTATGGCCTTATTTAGTTGTGAGATATAGAACTGCTGTAGCGTATTTAAGCATCCTGAATGCATCTAATGTTGTTAAAATCAATAAAATAATTAAATAAGATTATGTTTCAGCTGAACGATGAGTAATATATTTATTTTAGTTCAAACACCTCTTTTATACAACCCTGCTTTTATTACTCACATTTAAGTTAAAAAAAGTTGCAAGAAAGTGCGAAAACACTCGAATAAGTATCATATCATGTATAATCTGAATATTTTTTAAGAAGCGTTACTGTCGAAGTAAGTGTCATGGGCTAATACCGCAAAACCTTAAATCCTTCCAGTGAAGCAAATAGATTTGGTAGCTAATTCACAGGTCTGCTGAATAAATACAAAACACCTGCATGGTTTCCACCTGCCAATGAGTCAAAGTTAACATTGAAACTAGTATAAAAGAGGTATGATTTTATACAGTGACATCAGTTGTGTGCTGTACCTATCGAGATGAGAACCTTTGTGAGTTGCTGCTATTATATCTCACCCATAGGCAGTCAGTAGAAGTGGTATATCATTTATTCAATTGATTTTATTTGGACTATATTCTCTATTTGATTTTAATGTGTAGCTATATTATTATAGTTAATTGCTTTTATCAGGTTGCCGTTCTTCTCTTGGCTGTGGCCGTTGCTCTGGCCATTCCTCTCAGCGGTGACGAAGATCGGGCTACTGGTCTAGTAGAAACACCAGACCAGGCGCCCTTTTCATCAGACCGGCAGAGCGGAGATGACATACTCAGGATCATCTCTGATCTGAAAAAAGAATCTACGATTAGGCAGTATACACCATCGAGCGGATGAAATTTTCATTCATTTCCTGGATGAAAATTCCTAGATATAGTATATCTCAGGAATGAAACGGCAAATGGACTATTCTTCATATCATGAAAGAAATACGACCACAACAAGCACACAAAATGCAAATAACATATACAACTACAATAACAACAAAAATACAACTACTACAACTAAAAAATCAAACTCACCTTCAAACTTCAAGACTATGAAATTTAAGTTTCAGGAGACTTTAAATTATTACAATATTCTCTATTTTGATATTTAAATTCTTCATTGATGTGGAAATGATATGGAGAGTGCAATTTTTTAAACTAAGTATTAAATTTTATTAAAAAAATGAATGTATTTTTGCCGACGAGAACTCTTCAATAATCTTATATGCTATTACAACACGCAATTGTTTGGTTCTCTATTTGGATGATTGTAATTATACGAGAGCACCCAAATAAAATCTACCATTTCATTTTAACTCATTTATCATTTTTTAATTGAAGTAGAGCTGCAACACAATCCTAGCTAATCAGTATTAGAGAAAAGGTATTAATGTAAAATATTCAATATCAAGAAGGTGAAGGTTTTGCAACACTCGAGATTGAACTTTTGGAAATGACAGTAGCACAAATCAAAGGTATTGCGGATACAGTTTGAAATCTAAGCTTAAAATTACTCTGAAAATAATTTCAGCGTCCGGACGAATCCTGTAGTCTGGAGGTTGATAGCTGGAGGATCGCTCTAGATAATGAGGGCATCACCTCTTGACAGTGAGGATCTCAGCTCTTGAAAATGAGGGCCTCAGCTCTTGATAATGAGGACCTCAGCTCTTGATAATGAGGGCCTCAGCTCTTGATAATGAGGACCTCAGCTCTTGATAATGAGGGCCTCAGCTCATGATAATGAGGACCTAAGCTCTTGATAATGATGGTCTCAACTCTTGATAGTGAAGACCTCAGCTATCGCCAGTCTCGATAGGTCGGGGCACCGCATAACTATGCTGGTGCAGGCCTCCAATGTCGCTCGGGTGATGGTCTCATTGTGAGCCTCCCGCATGTGGTTCTTAGGTCCTCCAGATTGTAGGTGGCATGTGAGTCGGCGGCTTAAGGTCGTGCTAGTAAGACCAGTGTAGGTTATATTTTAAAGAAGTCTACAACCTTCAATGTTACATGCAAAGAAGGTTGTAGACTTATTCAAAATTTAAACTACATTGGTGTTACTAGCACGACCCTAAGCCGTCGACTAATGCGCCAGAGACTCACTAATGGACCAGAGATTCACTAATGGACTAGAGACTCACTAATGGACCAGAGACTCACTAATGGACCAGAGACTCATTAATGTGCCAGAGACTCACTAATGGACCAGAGACTCACTAAAGTGTATGAGACTCAATAATGGACCAGAGACTCACTAATGGACCAGAGACTCACTAATGGACCAGAGACTCACTAATGAGCCAGAGACTCACTAATGAACCAGAGATTCACTAATTGACTAGAGACTCACTAATGGACCAGAGACTCACTAATGAACCACAGACTCACTAATGTGCCAGAGACTCACTAATGAACCAGAGACTCACTAATGTGCCNGTGCCAGTGACTCAGTAATGGGCCAGAGACTCACTAATGGACCAGAGAGAGACTCACTAATGGACCCGAGACTCACTAATGTGCCAGAGACTCAGTAATGGGCCAGAGACTCACTAATGGACCAGAGACTCACTAATGCGCCAGAGACTCAGTAATGGGCCAGAGACTTAGTAATGGACCCGAGACGCACTAATGGACCAGACACTCACTAATGTGCCAGAGACTCACTAATGGTCCATGGACAAGAAACTCACTAATGGACCAGACACTCACTAATAAGCCAGAGACTCACTAATGGTCCATGGATCCGAGACTCACTAATGGACCAGACACTCACTAATGTGCCAGAGACTCACTAATGGTCCATGGACCCGAGACTCACTAATGGACCAGAGACTCACTAATGTGCCAGAGACTCACTAATGGGCCAGACACTCACTAATGTGCCAGTGACTCACTAAAGGTCCAGAGACTCACTAATGGACCAGAAACTCACTAATGGGCCAGAGTCTCACTAATGGACCCGAGACTCACAAACTGACCAGACACTCATTAATGTGCCAGAGACTCATTAATGGACCAGGAACTCACTAATGGACCAGGGACTCACTAATGGACCCGAGACTCACTAATGGACCAGAGACTCACTAATGGACCAGAGACTCACTAATGGACCAGAGACTCATTAATGCACCGGAGACTCACTAATGGACCAGAGACTAACTAATGCACCAGATACTCACTAATGGACCAGAGAGTTCGGCATTGCTTCACAAAAGCCATTTTCTGCCAAGCGTTCACTAAAAGGCTGGAGTTGATTTTTTTATCGTATTGAACATGTCCACGCATCACTCGGGTAGGAAAAATAAGTGGCAGGTTGTACAAATATCGACGCACTTGCGTGGGTCATCCTGACCCAGTTTGGCTGGGCAGAAGCGCGTATCAGTGCTACGTGAGCAAAGTCTGTCACTGTTTAAACAATGGAACTATGTCAGACATAAGTTATGCTTTTAAAGATACAGAGTAGTTATGTTTCACTATCCTAAGCGAAATAAAAGGTTTATTGTTCAATATCACAGCCCTATTTTGCTTTTATGTGGGTCATTCTGACCAAGCTTGACCCGGCAAAATCAGTGCTTCCTGCTCGATCTGCTCGTGCTTTGGCTAATAAAATGAGTCACTATTTGGGCTATATGACCCGTTATTTTAGTGTATGTGGTTAATGAAACATAATTATTCAAAACCATTAAAATCGTGTGTGTCGTGCCTCCTACTTGCTGCTCGTGTGTAGGTCGTGCCTCCTACTTGCTGCTCGTGTGTATGTCGTGCCTCCTACTTGCTGCTCGTGTGTAGGTCGTGTCTCCTACTTGCTGCTCGTGTGTATGTCGTGCCTCCTACTTGCTGCTCGTGTGTATGTAGCAGTGCGATACACGTCACACAGCAGTGCGATGCACGTCACTCAGCAGTGCGATGCGCGTTACTTTGATGCTACGTGTTAAATTTGACGTTAATTTTCATATTTTCTTATCCATGTAGTGGATAAGAAAAAGTGGATCATATTGTCTTATCCAAGACCACTGGATCAAAATAATATTGATATCACTGGACGCACGGGTCAGCATGAGCTGCAGATCGTTAACTAATTGCAGTTTCAATTATTTCTTTTGAAAAAATTGCTTTAATATTACCGGATAAACGTTCATAAGTGTTAAAAAAATGAATGTAATATTATTGAATCTCCCTACTTTTACACATAAAATTTCTTGTCGGTTCAAAGTAATTCTATTATCTACAGGGTGGGTCAAAGGTCACAGGCCTTCTTTATTTTTTAATGTCTTTTTATTCCTTAATATATATTTTATTTTTTAATGTTTTTTATTTTCTCCAGATCCTGGAAATTTATTATGGAGAAATTCAGTACGGTCAAAAGTACGCAAATTGTGAAATTTTACTATCAAAATCAAGGCTCAATAATTCAAACTCAAAAGACTTTTTTTTTTGTTGGGATATCCAAAGAAAAATGTTTATGCCAACAAGCCGCAATCTTTAATGGAGCTAAATGAAATCATCACTAGAGAAATAAGAGAAATAAGCCCAGAAACTTTGGAAAAGGTTATGGCAGAGGTACTCGAAGGAGCTTTAATTTGTGAAGCAGAAAATAAAAGGCATATGTAGATGTTATTTTTCGCACCTGATGATAGTTTCTAAAGCTTACTAAAGGTAAATTTGTGTTGAGAATAAAATTAAATTTTTGAAAGAAATCAATTTATTTCCATCGCCTTGACTTTATGGTACAAAAAGTTCATACATATTACCCTAACTATAAAAGTTACTCAACGGTGAAATGGTTCTGTGACTTTATGCTCACCCTGCATTAGAAGCAGCTGCTTATTATATTTACTTTTACAGCACCAGCCGTGATTTGATTGATGGAAGCGCAGTTAATGTATATTTCTCCTGATAACCTAAATGCATTACCGCTGCATTAGAGGGGTGACAGCTCTATTTTATTGTGGTATTCTTACCAAGTTCTGAACTGTCTTAGTGTAACCTGTCAACAGAATTGGAACTAACGTGTTTCGAAGACACTTTGGTGAGCTTTTACGTGAATTCCTCACCGCGCCGCTCACCAAAACAACCGAAATGAATTTTCGTTAAAATCACAGCCCTTCGACAAGTGAACAGTAAAACATAATGGCTTGGAAGATCGCACGTAAGAGCGGCGTGTCACTCACAAGCTGGGCTCATGAGAGGAGGGAAGTATACCCTCCTGGTGAGCTGATCAGAGGGAAGTTTACCTTTTTGGTGTGAGGAGCAAAGGGAAGTCTACCCTCATGGTGTGCTGAGCAGAGGGAAGTTTGCCCTCTTAATTGGTGTGCTGATCAGAGGGAAGTTTACCTTTTTGGTGTGATGAGCAAAGGGAAGTCTACCCTCATGGTGTGCTGATCAGAGGGAAGTTTACCCTTTTGGTGTGCTGAGCAAAGGGAAGCCTACCCTCATGGTGTGCTGAGCAGAGGGAAGTTTACCCTTTTAATTGGTGTGCTGATCAGAGGGAAGTTTACCCTCTTAATTGGTGTGCTGATCAGAGATACGTTTACTTTCTTGCTGTGCTGTGCAGAGGGAAGTCTTCCCTATTGATGAGCTGAGCAGAGGGAATTTCGGTGTCATTCTCTGCTCGATGCATAATATTTACGAATGAAAAGTGTATAAATATAAATTTTTCCTACAATTTATTTTAATGGTATTTTGAATTCATCTCATTACATCATATGTAATGAGACATTATAATAATAAATAATAGCGGCTTCAGCGTTTATTAGGCCATAGGTCTGTCGCCGATTCTTAACGTCGCAGAACATCCACAGCTTGTTGCGGTATCGAACTCGCAACTCACTGCTACAATTCTGCTGTGCTTAACCGCCCGGCCTCCTTGCCGATTCTGACCAGAAACTGGCGCACAGAGCTGGGATGGAACCCGCGCCTCTGCGCCAATCCTGGTACTCTGAACTTTAAACACTGGGCCACCCTGCCCGGTATCCAACACAAAACTGGCAATAAATATTATTATTATAACCGTTTTTCGTTAGCGCAACGATATTGAACGGTTGATGTTGTTCACACAATGACAGTAATTAAGACATGGCGAATGTCTATTCGAATGAGCGATTTTAAAATAAACGGTTTTGCTAACTTTGGGAGGAAGTGGTGTTATTGGCCAACGGGACTCCGAATTTCCACGAAGCCCTATCATACGAGGTCTGTATAGTGGCGTCCACTGCATCTGGCTGTTACTAGCCGCGAGTGATTATCGTTCTAGTGGCCTCGTGTAAAGTGGTTTGGGTTGCTTAATCGACTATTTGTGGTGGCCTTCATAAAT